TTGCCCTTGCGCAGCAGGCGGTGCACGCGCCCCACCGGGAACTGCAGCCCGGCGCGGGAGGAGCGCGTCTTGGCCTTGGCGCGAGCCTTGCCGCCCTGCTTGCCGCGTCCAGACATCGCGAGAACTCGAGCAGTACTCACCCAACAGTGGTCCGAAAGTGACAGAAGCGCCCTTTATAGCGTCCTCGGGGGCGCGAAAAGGCAGCCCTGCGATTGGTCACTTTTCATGTTCATTTAGACCAGTGGGCGTCTGCGCGTCTGGCGAGCCTGGCTGTGACATCACAGAAGCGCGAGCACCAATCGCCGGGGACATTCTCCGCGCCTCATTTGCATAACTCCCTCTAGATAACGCAGCGCCGGTTGCTTCCCCCCAACTTCTCTCGCTCTCGTTTTGAGATGCCCGAGCCAGCCAAGTCCGCCCCGGCCCCGAAGAAGGGCTCGAAGAAGGCGGTGACCAAGGCGCAGAAGAAGGACGGCAAGAAGCGCAAGCGCAGCCGCAAGGAGAGCTACTCGGTCTACGTGTACAAGGTGCTCAAGCAGGTGCACCCGGACACGGGCATCTCGTCCAAGGCCATGGGCATCATGAACTCGTTCGTGAACGACATCTTCGAGCGCATCGCCGGCGAGGCGTCGCGCCTGGCGCATTACAACAAGCGCTCGACCATCACGTCGCGGGAGATCCAGACGGCCGTGCGGCTGCTGCTGCCCGGCGAGCTGGCCAAGCACGCCGTGTCGGAGGGCACCAAGGCGGTCACCAAGTACACCAGCGCCAAGTGAGCTGGCTGGCGAGTGAAGGTCTCATCTACCCACAAAGGCTCTTTTCAGAGCCACCACCTTCTCACGAGAGAGCTGCCATTTGCTTTTGTCCCGATCTTTGGTCTTGTAGTGTTCTTACACAGGAGCAGTCCAGTACCAAGTCCGTAAGTAACGGGGCCGAAAGTAGGCTAAAGTTCATTTTCTGGAGTTTTGGCAGGTTTGTATGTAGCTGAGGTTTCCTCGCTTAGCGGTCTGCTTTAAGCGGGAAATTTGAATTTCCCGGTGACTCTTCTGCGTGGTATGATTGGCGGTCGGGGTTCTCTGGGAGGATCTTCCGTTCGGTCCTTGATTGGCCGCTTCAACTCGGAAGTAGCCACAGGTCCCGCCCACCCAGCTCTACGTGCAATGTCTTAGGAAAAGGTTGTGAGTTGGATCTCGTTCTTGCCCTTCAGTTCACTTTACTTCTAAGGTGAGATTACCTCTCGCTTCAAGTTAGGCCGGAGTGGGAAGGGCTCCGTTTTCGGTCGGGGAAGAACAGCTCTTTTTTCCTGCCGGGGTCCCAGGCGTGCTTCTGGGGTGCAGGGCGGGGCGGCTGGGGGCTCCAGACTCCGCAGCGAAATCGGCCTCTGACAGCTGCCTTTGTTGGCATTTTAAGTTGTTGATTGTTTGAAATCTGAAGGAAAACGAATTCTGCATCATTTAGGTCGTTTAAATGAGAACCAGTCACCCTCAAAATCTTTCTAGATTACAGCTTCAAAGTTGTAGCCGGGTGTGGTGGCACAGGCCTGTAATCCCAGGCACTCGGGAGGCTGAGGCAGGAGGGTCGTTGTGAGTTCGAGACCAGCCTGGGCTACACAGTGAGTTCCAGGGTAGTCTCAACTACATAGTGAGACCCTTTCTCAAAAAACAAAACAAACACAACAAAATTGTACCTGTTTTCAGGGGAAGAAAAAAGGTCGAAATGTTTGGAAGTTTCCATGACTGGTTTTGGTTTAAAAGGGAAATCTGCCTAGTAGAAGTAAGTATATAGTACAGTAATACTATCTAAACAAGTATTTTCTTAAATTTACTGTGGTTTTAGCACTTTTTCAGAGCTCATGTAGTCCATCTTACTGGCTCTGACATATCCGCCTGCTTTGGGCTTCTCCAACAGCTGGTCCAGCTTTTGGAATCCGACTCCGCCTGTTCAGCTGCATTTTCTTGCGTACATCCAGTTGAACAGCTCCACCCTTTGTTGTAGGTATTTACCTGTAGAAAAAGTGCGCAAAAGACATGAAAATGAGCAAGGGAGCGCAAAAGGTAAAACGTTTTTCCTCTTACTGCAGTTGACATTCCACACTAATGGTGTAACTGAAACTTGTGAATATACAGCATAAAGGTCATCATTTACTTTTATGTCTCTGAGCCTCTGATGATTTCCATTATTCCAGATAATCAGATGATCATTTTCAAGCTAAATGCTTGTTTGGGTGCTTCTCTGTCTTACAGGGTAAAGTATCTGAATAAGAAGCAGACTTTGGGGGAAACGGAGGGATTCAGGTGTGCAATTCCAGCCACAGATAAGAATTTTATAAAGGCTCAATTTTTAAAAAAGAACCCGGCTGATTCTGTTCCTTAGAATAAACCGCCTAGGAGGTAAGTAAATCAGACATTGGCCTTTCGGGTTATTTGGTAGAGTCTCCTCAAGGATGAGGATAGTGGAATTTGGGGTGCAGCCCATCGAGTGGTACAGCATGAGAATTCAGTCTCTGACACACGCGGGCTCGCACACACACAAGAGGGAGTTTAATCCTTCGCTTAAAAAACTAAATTGCGTTTCAACTCTGCTAATCATCCCTAAAAGAATTCCTTCAAAGAAATAATCATAGCCCTTCTTTAAAAGAATGAACATGGTGATACACTTTTTATAGAGAGGTAGTGAGGTAGGTATCACAAAACATGGGAGTATTTTTTCATTCATAATACTGTAAGTCTTCCCCACTGATTATAAGCCAAAATGAGGCCTGTATAAGGCATAGTCCTCAATGAAATAGGAACAACTGTTTTTAAGGAACCTTTTCCCCCTAAGCTTTTCCAAATGATAGTATGTCCTTTTCTCCTATGTACATATTAAAACAACTGAATCTGCAATGTTTATTGTAATAAGACACCTGATACCCTGGGTGGACAGAGATATATTCACAATGTCCACTGAAAGTCAGTGGTCCTAGATACCATGCAGCTGTCCTTCAGTCAAACCTTTATCTTTGATATGTTAAAGTTAGCTTAATAGTACACTTTTCCTCAAATTTTGTCAAATTTTGATAGCATGTTGAACACACACACACACACACACACATATATATATATATATAATATATCGTTAAGCTATCCATTAATTTGTTTAATTTTGGAGTGTCATTTTTCCTGATATTGTTCTCCAATTTTAGATATGTAACCCTGTTTAGAGTCTGCATTATTTACATTCTGCACATGGAGGTATTTTAAAGTTTAATATTAAACTTCCAGGGTTCTTCGAGATCTTAAAATGCACCTGTAGTCATTTATTATAGAAATTGTACCAGACACTGGACACTAGGAAGGCAGAAGAGCAGGTCCATCCTTCCCACTGTTGGTTGCAACTTGTTAGGTTACTAGATCTACAACCTTGTGAAGTATGTAGATAGCAGCACTTGTTCATCAAAGGAAAACCCAGCCTGAGCAGGTACTGGAGGAGAAAATAATTGCTAGAGCAAGTGAGGGGCCCACATTCCAGTATTTCTATTGAACATTGTAATTAAATTACATGAGGAATTTTCGGTGAATTACTGAGTGATACTATCCAAGTTGGAAACTTGGCTTTATTCCTGTCCCCTATGAAAAATGGGGATGTAGTACTGCCTCATAAGTTAATATTTTTAATATACTTAGAAAAATGACCTGCATACAGTGAGCATTCAACAACTGGGTGCTATTGCTTCTGCTGCCAGTAGTAACAGCAAAAGTAGACACAGTTGGCATATTGAGTAGGAAGAGGATCCCTGCCCCAGGCAAAATTTGGAGCACTGTATCTCTTTTCTTTTCCTGGAAGGAGATTGATGTAAGATTCTGGCCTCGCTGACTCACATGCATGGCTAGTGGTTCATCTGGATGGACAGGGATTTGAAGTAGGCCACAGTGGAGGTTTGAGGACAAGTTTTGGGGAAGAAATCCCTCTGTATTTTCCCCAATGTGGATGAATTTCCTAGAATCAGAGGATCAGTACAGTATCCCATGAGTGCCAACCAAGAAGTCCACTCAATGACCAGGTATAACCACAGCCCTGTGGATGGCAGTCTCTCCCCTCACCCCCACTTCCTGTCTGAGCAGTTTGTAAGCAGAACGACCAGGTGGCGATGGTGGAGGTCCTCGAGGTCTGAGGTAAAGCCAGCTCGTTAAGGCTGACTGGGACACTCATACCAAGTGTTCCAAAGGCCAGAGCAAATACTCTTATGTTCTTTCTAGTATTTTGTCAGTGATGAGGCAGGTATTTCTTTTCACTGGGACAAACATTTATTCTAGATTTAAATGTGCTTCACTTTCTCTTGTGCTGTAGCTAACAAGACCATCTATGTGATGATTAAATAATTTATATTATCACATTTTCCATCTTTTGACCCATTTCTACACATTGTAGAGAAAAGGTGAGGGCACACATGACCAGGGAACTCAGTAATGTTTTTCTCTTTTTAATTTGCGTGCTGAGGGTGGATTTGAGGCAAGCTTTACTCCCAGCTTCCTTATCGGCTTTGTATCACATCCTTCATAAGCAGATGTCTTCTGGTTTTGGAGAACTCAGCCAAGGTGGCATCTAGGATCCAGGAGTGCTGTTCCCTGGGTGTTGTATGTGTGCTGAGTAGGTAGATACCAAGAATGGGCACAGTTTCTCCCATTGCCAGGATGCAGTGGCTGTTACATCTGTTAATAACCAGTTATTAACCAACTCGAAAATGTCTGCTTCTTCCTCTTGCACCTTAGGGCTTTCTCTGATGTTTTTAGTTTTAGAAAAGGAGGAATACTTTCAGTGTGACAAGATGTTTATTGAATTTTACTGATTTACCCAAATGATTTATTTTTATGTTAAGTTAAAGCACTTTTAATTTTATTCATTAGCTGGCTTAAGAGAGCTGTGGGAAATCTTGACTTAAAGGAGTCTGGATTCCTTCATTCTTAGTTTTCTTTTTTTTTTCCCTCATCCTCTCCCCTGGTTTGTATTGGTCTGTCCCTCTTTGAAGGATAGGCAGAGTGCTGCTGCAGATAATTTGAATGTTTCTAAAAATGCTGTCAAAATGACACATGGAAAGCTGGCTAGCTAAATTGTCTCAGAAATACAATTTCGGATATAATTTCACATATAATTATTTTGAGGCAAAATATTTGATACATTTTAAATACACCTAATGTAAACATTCATCACAGGGAAGGTGTACCTGTACATGCTTCTTTTTTCCCATCCCCTCCCTCTGACTTCTGTTCTCCTCCTTATTTACAAAAGCTTTGTTTCCATTTTTTCCTTCTAGTTTCACTTTTTTTCTTGTCCCTTCTGACCTATCCCTACCCTCCTCCCCTTCTCATTTGAACATTTTCTTCCCATTCTCCAATATCTGTTATACATTGTAGTCCTTGTTTCTACTTTTGGTTTCTCACACCAGAGAAACAGTTCGGTATTTAAAACATGTATGTTCAATTTATTGCACTTGAGTATGGTCTCAAGATCCATCCATTTATCTAGAAATTTCTCAAGCTCTTGCTTCTTTTTAAGAGTAGTACTCCATTATATATTTAAAAATCCACATTTTCTTTATCCATTTGTCACCTGATTGGGCATTTGGGTTTCCAAGATTTAGCTGTTGCAAACTGTTATAAACATGGGTGTGCATATATTTTGGGGGAATAATGCTTTTAATTTTTTTTAGAAAGATACCAGTAAGTGGAATAGCTGGGTTGAATGGATCTTCTAATTTTAGGTTTTTGAGGAATTTCCAACTGTACCACTCTACACTCCCACTGATAGTGGAAAAGGCTTCCTTTGTCCCCACAGCCTCACCAGCATCTGTTACTCATTGATGTATTGATAGCAGGCATTCTTCATGGAGTAAGATGGAATCTCAACATTGTTTTCATTTGCATCTCTTGAATGACCAGTGATGTTGAACATGCTTTCAAATATGTATTTGCTGGTTTTACGTCTTTTGACAAGTGTCTTATTTATTTCAGATGTCCATTTTTGGATTGGTTCTTTAAATTTGGGGTGTCTGATTTTTTTTGAATTCTTCATATATTATAGATAGTAGTCCTTTGTCTGAGGAACAGCTGGCAAAAAATTTGGCCCACACTGTGGGTTGTTTCGTGGTTTCTTTTGGTGTGCAAAAGCTTTTTAATACAATGAGATCCCAGTTGTTGATGTCTGTGATAGTTTTTGTCAACCGGGGTTTTCTTCATGAAGTCTTGCCTACACACCAATATCTTTGAGAGTTCTATCTATTCTATCTTCTAGCAGATTTAGTGTTTCTGTTTTAATATTTAGATCTTTTTGATTTTAGTTTAGTGCATGGTGAAAGATATGGGTCTAGTTTCAATCTTTGGCATGTAGAAAGCCAGTTTTTCCAGCACCATTTATTAAATAGGCTGTCTTTTTTCCAGTGAAGGTGTTTGGCTCTTTTGTCAAAGATAAGGTGGCTGAGTGTGTCTTGAGTTGCTTCTACATCTTATAATCTGTTCCATTGGTCCTCAGATATAATTTATATATATACACATACATACATATATTATTTAAATCACTGTAGCTCTGTAGTGCAATTTCATGTCAGGGATTGTGATGCCCCCTGCCTTGCCTTTGTTACCCAGAATTGCCTTTACTACTCTAGGTCTCTTCTGGTTCCAAATGAATTTTTGGATTGTTTTTTCTAATTCTGAGAGATATGCAATTGGGATTTTGATTAGAATTACATTAAATCTGTATAATAATTTTGGAATTTACATTACATCTGTATAATAACTTTCACTATATTGGTTCTTCCTTCCCAAGAGCAAGGGATATCTTTCCATTTTCTGATACCCTCTTTGATCTCCTTTTCCACAGCACTGTAGTTCTCAATGTGTAGATGTCTTTTACTTCCTTTGTTAGATTGATTCCTAGGTATTTCAGTTTTTTTGGATGCCATTGTGAAAGGTGTTTCCATAATTTCTCTCTCAGTTTGTTTTTTGTGTATAGGAAGGCTGTCGATTTTTGAGTGTTGACTTTGTATCTAGCTGCACTATTGAATTTGGTTATTAGGTCTAGAAGTATTTTGGTGGAGTTTTTGAGGTCTTCTATGTAGAGTATCATGTCATTCGTTTGAAAATAATGATAATTTAACTTCTTCCTTTCCTAATCTTACTCTTTTTATTTCTTCTGTTGTCTAATTGTTCTGGCTAATGTTTCTAGAACTATAGAATAAGAGTGGTGACTGTGGACATCTTTGTCTTGTTCTTGATTTTAAAGTGAAAGCTTTCAGTTTTTGTCCATTTAGTATGTATTGGCTGTTGGTTTGTCACAGATGGCTTTTGTCAGATTGAGATAGACTATTTCAATTTTCAGTAGGGTTTTTATCATGAGTGTGTGTTGGACTTTGTCAGATGCCTTTTCTCCATCTGTTGAGATGATCATATGCTTTTTGTCCTTGGCTCTGTTAATATAGTGTATTGCATTTATTGATTCGTGTATGCTGAACCATGCCTGCATCCCTGGGATGACTCCTGCTTGGTCACAGTATAAAGTCTTCTTGATGATTTGCTACATTGTTTGCCAGTATCTTATTGAGGATTTTTGCATCTGTGTTCATTAGGGAGATTGGCCTCAAATATAATTTTAACTACACTCATTGAGGCAAATTATATAAATTTACAAATCTGTTAAACCCCACCCCTCATACTGAGGATTGAATCCAGGGCCTTCACACTAGGGCCCTTTTTTTTATTTTGAGACAGGATCTCCCAAAATTGCCCAGGCTGGGCTCAAATTTGTGATCCTCCTGCCTCCATGTCCTGTAGTGCTGGGATTCCAAGTATGCACTACCACACCTGGCCACAAATAAAGTTTTAATAATTTTTAAAAGTTGTTGACTTGGTGAAATGTTTTTATATAACTGACTTTGAGAACACTGTCTTGATTATTGTATTTTCTCCTTTGATATTTAATTTATAACTTTTTCTTTTTAATCAGTCACCTCTCTTCCTTAGTTCCAGGGAACACCCACAATATTACGTTCTTCTATTGCATTTTTTAAAAAATTTGAAAGTAGATGGAAACTCCCTTCCCATTCTTTTTTCTCTTTTTTAATTCAGACTAATGAAGAGTGTCGAGATATCTTTTAATATTTTGTCTATAGATACAAAACATTTTTATTGCAGGTGGAACTAAGATTTTTTTTTCTTTTTATTGAGTTTATTGGTACAATCTAGGTACACAGTACAGTTACATTCATTACTGGGATCCTGTACCTTCACATGACAGGTCTTGGTTCTCATTGTTTCCCCTTGTCCCTGCCCTCCCTTCACCCCCTCCCCCCTCCCCATTTACAAACAATTTATTTCCATTTTTTCATTTTCTCTTACTTTTTGGAACTAAGATTTTATATTAAATATTTCAATGGTAAACTCAAAGGTGTTAAGAACTTTTTAACTTAAATGAAAAATGATTTCACTAAATAGTTCTATTTAGAAAATAAAAACATTGCTTTCTCATACTTCTCAAAGAAACAATCTAAAAACCATGGCAACCCATGATCAGTTAGACTCTACCGCACATGCCCATGATAGTCTCCCAGTTCCTTTTTGAGTCTGCATAACTGCTTGGAGATTTGGTTAAATGTTATGGATAAAAATTCATTTAAGAGGAATAACAACCAAATACCATGTGAAGAACTGAGGAGATTCATACTCAGACCAAATCATTGTAAGAAAAACATTTGAGTCACTTAGAGATTTCTTAAGAATTAGGTAGGTTTTGAATAATGTTTGTGATCATTAAATTTTTTCCTTAGGTATGAAATTTTATTGTGTGGCACCACGTCCGTGTCTGTGGAAACTTTGCTGCTGGAGATGATGTGCTGGCCCCTGCCCCTGCCTGGCGTGGTGTGGACACGAGGGACGCTGATGTGGGACTGCTGAGCCCTGGGACTGAGGGACTGAGCCCTGGGTGGGGTCCTGGGGTACGGTAATCCCTGTGCCTCGGCCTACACCAGGCTTCAGTCCATCCACAACCACGCTTTGCTTCCCCGTGGCAAAGGTGCAAAAAGGCCCAGGTTAATGGACGTGTTTCTCTTGGTTAGCAGGGGAGCATTGAGAGGAATCAAGCATCGCTTCAGGGAAATTCAAGTCCCTGAATCCAGGGACCCAGAAGAGGCTGCTCCTGTCCTTCCAGTGACGCCAGAGGGCCACTGCAGGCCCTCACCCTCCAGATGGTCAGTCATCCCCATGGCATTGTCGCCACCTCGTGGCCATTGTGGGTAATTTTGATCAGAATTACGTTAAATCTGTATAATAATTTTGGAATTTACATTAAATCTGTGTGGATTCTTTTTTTGGTACCGGGGATTGAACTCAGGTCCTTGCACTTGCGAGGCAGGCAGCAGAAGCACTGAGCTAAATCCCCAACTACATTAAATCTATAATAATTTTCACTATATTGTTTCTTCCTTCCCAAGAGTAAGGGATATCTTTCCATTTTCTGATATCCTGTTTGATTTCCTTTTTCAGAATACTGTAGTTCTCAATGTGTAGACGTCTTTTATTTCCTTTGTTAGATTGATTCCTAGGTATTTCAGGTTTTTTGGATGTTACTGTGAAACTAAGCTGAATTGATTTATGTACGGTTTCTTGTTAGGACTTTATTTCATTGCTAGGGTTTAATGGTTGCATATACATGGTTTCCATGGTTGCCAGCTGTCCAATTTCCCAATTTACTTGACAGAAACTCCAGTCTGGCTCTGAGCCCTCCGTAGTTCCTAACCTGAACTAACACTGACATCATTTCTGACAGCCGTGGCCCACACCAGGCATACCCGCTATCCTGCAAGAGCCTGCCTGAGGAGGCTGTGGCAGGAACATCTGCTCTGTTTTGATCAACTTCTGAATGTGGGCACAGTCTCTGCTGAAGGACAGGAACCTAATTCCGGTAAGGGCAGGTGAGTTTCACAAGGACCAACACTTCTCTCCACTTTTGCTTTTTGTGATGTTTTTACCTCCCTGACTCTTGCCAGCTGCTCCCTACCCCCCATTCACTACTTGGACGCCTCAGTTATGTAGGGCCATTGTTAAATAAAGCCCATTTTCACTGCTTTGACTTGTGCCTGGCTGGTTTATCTTTGACATACTAGAAAAAGCCACACTTATTTGTTTCCTCTGTTCCTGTCTGGAATGTATTTATAAAAAGAAAAATGTACAAACGCGGACTCTCATTGCCTCTTTAATGTAAACGGCCAGTGTCACATGTTCCTCTGCCTGCTGTTTTCTCACCTGGTTTGTGAGAATGCAAGCACATGCTGCACTCAATGAGAGCAAGGACCACAGCTGCATTGGTGCTTCCTTCTGCAGAATGAAAAAATACAGAAAATGATTTCCTTTAATATGTGTTTCTGAATTTCATTCTGAATATAAAAAATGCACAAACATCTTAAAATGTTTAACCATACCAGCAAACAAGGGACAGAACTGACAAGCTGGGAAATATTTTTACTATGTAAAACTGAAGAAGTCAATATTTCATTATAGATCTCTTAAAACTATGTCAACACTATGTAGACACAAAAACTTGTGAGTCTCTCTCCTGGCTCATACATCACGGCCAAAATACTTTATTCAACAATTTGTAAGCCCTTTCAAGAGTAATTTCTCAATCCTGTCAGCAGAGGTTAGTGAGAAATGGCTGAGTAATCTGCCTTCCTTGTGACTTGTGCTCCAGTCCACGAATGGGATGCATTCAGTCTACATGGAGATGTTTCCCCTGTCCTATCATCTTTAAGTCCCACTGTTCACATTCTCTTAGCCTCATTTGATTCTTCACAGCGTATGGAACATTTATAGCGAAGAATCTTCTAATGACTGGTTTAGCATTTGTTTTCCAGACTCTCACTGCTCTGCCGCTGTATGAGAGAAGCAGGTACCTGGGCACTTCATCCTTTCCACACTCCCCACCATCCTTAGCAACCAAGTTGAGGGACGTGTAGAGCTAAGTTTCCAAAACAGTTTTCTCACCACTTTCACTAGTCTGCTTGCTATAGGGATATGCTTATTTTGTGGATATAGATGTTCTGTACCAAGGTTATTGGATTTTAAAGCCCAGTAGTCAGGCCCTGTTCTGCAATTGCTACCCTCTTGTGTGTTTCTGAATGGGAGAGCCACATGTTAAATAATAGCAATTAATGGCTCTTTTTTTTTTTTATCTCAGAAAGCCTACAAACAAATTTATATCTTTTCTTTCACTTATTGTCTCAAGAATCTGAAAGATGTAAAATACTTTGAATATGAAGAAAAGAACTAGACTGGAATGGGGCCCACTCCTAGCGCCCTTAGGTTCCACCCAGCATACACAGCCCTGTAGGGAACAACTTGAATCACTGCTGTTATCTTGGCCATTTTGCCTGCATCCTAGACCAATAGGACAAGTACGTGGTTAGACAGCGCCCTGTTCTCCCTGGCTTTTCATCCCTCGCCCCAGGTCCTAGCACTGACAATGATTGCCAGCTGTTTCCAGTTTCTTGGAAGTGCTGGGCCTCAGTGCCCTTCCACCAGCAACAAGAGAGAGTTTCCGTTGCTCTATCCTGGGTAGCATTTGGTGTTGTCAATGTAAAATGCATTTTTTTAGACTGTTGGGGAAGCTTGAACTAATCTGATTATCAGGCAATACTGAGGATTGCTAATAATCAATGTAATTACTCATAATTCCCTTGTCCATTAGAGATACAGGAGAGACATTTGAGGAAATAATATAAACTCAGCGATCCTTTTATGGTAAGATCTTGGTGACTATTTGAAGTGGGTTGTTGGTGTGCAGGAACACATTCTTTATACCATTCTTTCTACTGCTGCATCTGTTGGACATTTCCATCACAGAAATGTGACACCACATGAATGCCAATTAAAACTACAGAGAGTGATGGTTCTAAGTGATGGTGAGGACATAGGCCAGCAGGAGAAGTAAGCCAATAAGCACGCTTTAGAAAAAGTTGGCATCTTTTTGCTACCATCAACATCTTTAATTTATGACTGTGAAACTTGTATATACAAAAAATCAGAAGAAATGAACAAGACTGTTCCTAGTAACATATTTTGTAACAGCTACAAATATAATTATCAACATTGCAACAAGTGTGGAGGCAGCTTCTCAGCAGCCGCTCCAGAACCCGCACTCCTGCTATTTATGTCCTGTGTGATCTCCTGAGTGTGAGTTGGACCCACTTAGTCACTTCCAGTAGAACAGAATAAAGTAATAGCAATGGGAGGTCCCTTCTGAAATGAGGTTAATAGATTTCGAGTTCTGTGTTGCTCCTTCCCTGGCTCTTGCTGCTTTGGTGAGACAGCTGTCCTTTGGAGGGGTCCAGTGATAAGGGGCAGAGCGTGACCTCCAGCAGCAGTTGGTGATTGTGCAAGCCTCAGTCTAGCATCCTGTCATAACCATGTGTCCAGGACCGGGAGCGCCAGCCTCTCCTTCCTCCAGCCTTGCGATGGCTGAAACCCTTTGCAAGCCATGGCTGTAGCTTTGTGAGGAACTCTGAGCCAGAGCCCAGGAAGCCACTTCTGTTCTGGAATCCTGACTCTCAGAAGTTGGGTGATAGTAAATATTTCAAACCAGGAAGTTTTAGGGTGATTTGCTACTCAGCCACAGACGATGTGATCAAGGCATAAATGAGTTGTAGCACATTCACACTATGGTGGTTGATGGAGGTCCAGGAGAGGTGCACTTCACAGGGTGGGACCTGATCAGCCAGGGAGGGCCAGCTCTGGATCTCTAGGTGCTGGGGCTTCAGGAGGCTCTGGAGCTGGGGGTTGGGCAGGAATTGTGAACCAACGGTACCCTGACTACTCACCTTTGGGAGGGGAGTTCCCCCCCACCCCACAAGGTTGTTAGAGGCTGGGTCCTGGCGTCCAAGGCCCACGGGTGGGCCCACAACCACAGCACAAACAAGGCTGGACACAGACCAGGGTTGGTGCTTCTGGGCTACACATGGCGGGGATCCGGGGGACAGGGTGATCTCTGCTGCCTTTGAGTTTTTGACACCGTTATCCTCCCGCCACGTCTTTGCTTGTCCTTGTTCTACCTCCTTCCTCACTGTGGTAAACTACACAGAAACGGAAGTGGATAAATTACATCTACAGCAAGAGTGATGAAGTTTACTGAACACGGCTAATAGAAAAGTGGAAAAATATGTCCTGTTTACATGAAGTTCAGATACAAGTAAGTACTGGTTTAGGGAGAATTGAGATGTAGCAATCAAATGTAAAGCAGCAGTAACTGGGGCTCAGTTGAGCAGTTACCTTGAGGAGGAGCAGGGACGGTGCCTGGGCAGCATCTTATTCGACTCCCGTGCGATCTGCGTCTTCCTCCCTGTCACGCAAGTGCTGGTTTTGATACTGTTTGAGGTGGCATAGATATATATGTATGTGTGTGTGTGTGTGTTGCACGTTTTAATTTTCACACACATAAGTTTTACAGTAAGATTTAAAAATTACAAGTTTTGTGAAACAATTTTAAAATATGTGATAAATGGAAATTCAGAGATAATTACATGGCTGTTTTATACTAATAAGCTTCAGTGTATTTTAAATGTTTTACGATTGAATTATTTAAAAAACTGCCTTAAAAAGTAACCGGAAAATATATTTGCAGTAAGTTATTCAAAAGATTGATAGGTTTATGCAAATACAAGGACAACTAGAGAATGGAATTTGAAAAAATTCTGGTCATCCTACTTTAAAAAGACTCAAAATACATATAAATACATAGCATAATATATTTTTATGCAAATATAAACTATAATAATTATTCAAGTCTTTGACTACTTCTGCAACAATCAGTCAGAAGCCATTACTTCTCCTAAAAGAATTAATTTCAAAAAATAGAAGAATGGCTAAAGCAGATTATTATGTCCACTGTTTTGCCGACTGTGAAGGTACTGGAATGATGATAAAGACCGCATTTAAATGAAGACTGCTTGTGAGGGACAGTTCCACAGAGCGAACTTTCATTCTGCAGTTGTTTCAGGGCTTGTAAACATGGCCAACACCTGGGAAAGGACCTGACTTTTTCAAGAGTTTGCAAATTGCAAAAAACTTGCAAGAATTTTGGTTTGTGTGGTTATCAGCTGAAAATGACAACCCAGGTTTCTTAAAAATTCGCTCCGAGCCTGTGGCTATGACTGCTACAGGTTTCTTCAGTCTTTGGTTGTCACTTTGTTTCTGGGAGTCGGAGAAACCGGCTTTCAGTCTGGTGTTGGTTTGTCTGTTAGTTTGAGCGCGTTTCTGCTGGTCTGTCTCAGGTGAGTCACCTCTCTTTCTTCTCACCCGGCAGCTTCTGTCTTCGTACTCTCCCTTAGGTCCCCACCTCCACCCCGCCCCAGGCTTTCATTTGGGAAGAAACTCATCAGGCGGAATCTCATTACAGGATCAGAGACTCCTTCCTTACCACTGACACTGGCATCCAATTAACCAAGAGGGTGAAAATCCAGGCGAATCACAGTAATACCTGTAGAACAGGATCTCGTAAGTCAAGGGACTTGAGTTACATGAAGTACGGCTGCACACGAATCCCTGTCCTTACTAAAAAGAGCCACCCGACGAGGGTGGGATTCGAACCCACGCGTGCAGAGCACAATGGATTAGCAGTCCATCGCCTTAACCACTCGGCCACCTCGTCCAGACATTGGTGGGTCCTGCGTGCGCAGCCTGGAGGACACTCGCACAGCCCGACGGCGGCTGGGAGGATTTGGGGCGCTGCGGGGCTGTGTGGGCGGGGGACTGGGCTCCCTGCTGGGCCGCCTGCGCTCTAGCTCTCGCGCCGCCATTGGGGGCGGGCAGCCTGGGGAAGTCCAGGCAGGCAGGGGGTGAGGAGCTGGAAGCGTGCGAGGGGCACCTTCTGTGGAGAAAGAGGAGGGGGCCAGCAGCCCTGGCTTATTTGTGTGAATTCAGCTCCCAAGGATGGCTGTTCCCCTCCTCGAAGAGCCGAGAGCCGCACTATTTGTAGCCAGAGGCCCGGCCTCGCCTCCCTCTGCTCTCTTCCAGGGGGGTTTTCTCTGCACACATCCTCCTCCCCCGCAGGCCGGCTCTTCTCACCGGTACGGGACCCTCTCTTCCTTTCGCTAGCGGAGTCATTTTCCCAGGCGTTGGCTCTCAGTTTAACCCTTATTTTA